TGCTGCTGCTGCTGCTGCTGCATTTGGCGCACTGCACTCGGGCCCTGCTGCTCCTGCGGCTCCTGCAGGCCACTGCCGCTTGGCCCCGGCGAGCGACCGCGCGCGTCCGCCCGTGGGCCGTCCTTCCTGCGCGTCCCGCTCTTCGAAGACTCCGTGCATGGCGAAGCGGATGATGGCCTCGCAGGGCCGCCAACCGCGCGCCGACCCACTCCCCTAGCCCCGCGGCCCGGACGCCGCCAGCGCCGCCGCTGGGATTTGGTTTTTTGTGCGGGCCGCGTGCGCCGCGCTCTATGACGCAGCAGGGATCTCCGGAGAGTTCGTATGAGTGTGGAGGAGGCGGGCGGCTCACGTTGAACAGATGCCCTTATATAAAAAGCGTACGCGCTCTGCCGGCATTTTTTTTCTTTTTTTCGAAAAATGAGAACTAATTAGTGACTGTCGAGTTTTCTGTCCAGTATTTTCCAAGGACAACACTTGAAATATACATCAATGAAATCTACAAACCTGATATGTTAAATGTGGATTCTGTTTTTATGCGCAAGAATTCTAAACAATGTGAATGGAACATTCACTTTAATTCCATTGCAAATTTGCAAATTTATCATAATTGTAATCTGGAATCCAGGAGAGTAATGCGATATTCTAAATACATTGAAACTAATATGGTATCTTAAGGTTCTTTAAGATGTATGAAATGTGGATGAACTGAAATTCAAATTTCGTTTATAACATTTTTATCTCGGACAGAAGGAATTCTAGTAAAAGATGATAAGCGAAAACAAATTTTCTATTGAAAAACATTCAAGAAAATATATAACACATATGATATTGGTCTTCTCCCGCCATCTAGCTGTGGGTCTTCGAAACACTTCCTTGAAAAGCGATCTTATAAAAACAATAACTTGTGTGGAAATTCAATACATGTACATTACTAAATTAGTAGAAAAGGAAAGTCTTCGAGGTTTCCAGATTCCGAGAGTCCATTAAAATTGAAGGTATTTACTCTGTAAAGATGCCACACCAATCATAGCAGCCTCCAGATTTTCATAAATGCAAATTTCTGGTGTTCATTTTGTTGAAAGTGTGGCTTATCTTGTTTCTATATGTCTTCTTGAAACTTTTGAAGGACTTGAGGGTAATTGCAACACAAAACCTTTCAATGAACGAATATGTGCTTGAACAGAAGATACAAATTTCAACAATAGCTATCGTTTTCATTTTACGCTAACAAATTGTATTAGTACGAGTATATCCCATTCCAAATTCCCATTCCAATTTCTCCCTAAGAAAGATGCTAGATAATTGAATTTCTCCTGTGTACATTCCTTCAGATACCTACCTAATAATACTTTCCCGTTTATGTGAAATGATTCATTACAAGTCATATATGTATAAAAATCGATTTTTAGATTCTTTCTGCCCTCTTTGTAGAATTTTGAAACAAAAATCTTCTCCCTCCTTTTCATGTTCGTACACAGAATGCATTTCACTTTCCAGTTGACTCTTTACAGTTGGCAGACTTTACGAAAAAGTAATATCAGTACCTACAATAAGTAACGTAATAATGACCCTACTAAACGCATTTTTCCTAGACAAAAGTTTGTGTGCTTACCCCACCTAAAATGAATTAAAATGAAACACTTGTTGCATTCTATGTTTATCATAAGAGTTTCATTTTATGTTTTTCATAAAACGACCCTGTCAAATACATTTTTTCTCGACAAACATTGAGTGCTTACCTCACTAGAAGTGAGGTTAAAATGAAACACTTGTTGTAGTATAATTTTCAATTTATCCACTCCCAATTTACTATTTCATAACAGAGCTGCCAGCCCCCCACCCCCGCCCTGAAAACGCGTGTTCGAATTTCTTAAACGATTCCTTAGGTACTTCGTTTGACTCCTTAAGTACAAATAGCGAATTTGAATTGAATGAATTAGGACTTTAAATGATACTTTCCAGTCAAAACCCTTTGAATGTTTAACGAATATTAGAAATGAAGTCTT